GAAAGAGAGTGCTTTGAAAATGTGCACGTTGACACTCGGGCAAGCAGAGGCAGGACGAAGTGCTCAAGACTGGGAATGTTCTACTTCCAAATTTCCTACAGACTGCTCTTTCTTCTGTTGGTGCATTCACTCATTCATTCATTCAGCAAACATGCATTTCTCTGGACAGTCGGTGTCCAATATGTGAGTGCTAAAAAGATGAAAATGTGGTATCCCTGCAATGCCTGTTTAAGATGAGCAATGCTAAACAGTGATTAGTAGCACAGATTCTAGAACTGGACAAGACATCAATGCCACGCTGAAACACAGGGTTATCATTCCTTCAGGAAGGCAGACAGAAAAAATTTTCTGCTACTTGAAAAAAAGTTGCCCATCATCCAAAAATCTTTTTTTTTTTTTAATCTAGAATCAAGTATCTAAAAATCCACACAAAGAAAGGAGCCACGATGGGGGCTTGGCCTGTGTCCTCACACCCATCTTCCCTGGAGAAGCAACACAGTGAGACTTTTAGGGCATGGAGTTCATGGGAGCAGAGAAGCCCCAGCTCCCCTCTTCTCAGAGTCACTTACCTGGCATGTCTGCTCCCTAGCTTCCTCTTACCCTACACAAGTGTCATGATTCTTGTCCCAACACATCCCATGACAGCAAAAGCAGGCACTGGTCCAATAGACACAAGCCTGGAGGCCTAAGCAAACCCTGCTGCCTAGGTAAGACTCTTCCCCTCCAGGGTCTGGCTTCGTTCCTCCCTCCCAGCACCCCAGTAAACTGAAAAATCCTGAAGTCCTCTAGTCTACAGCTCTAAACCATTCAGATCAGCAACCACTTTTGTCGTTGTTGTTAGGTTTTAGCCATAGGGTGTGTGTACTTGCTGGAGAAATATAAGAGAGAGAGCAAATGAGAAAGCATCCCCCAGGGCGATGGCCATGCCACAGTCCTTTCTCCTCCATTCTCCTCTCTGGATTTTGGGCATACACGCATGCGTGTCTACAGTGATTTTCAAGCCGTTGGGTCCAGGACTCCAACCATGTTCAGCCATGTAGGACCCAGTGCCTTCACTACCATGCCACCTGCTGGTCCAACAACCACTTTTTTAAAAAGCTTATTTCTTTCATGAGAGAAAGAGAGAGAAGGACAATACCCCCAGTAGGATCTTCACGCTGTAATCCACTACCGGCACCAGCCAGTCAGAGTCAGGGTCACACTCATGCCCGATGTCTACAAGGAGGCCTTCGTGTGTGAACTTGGGACCTTCCACATGCCCCAGCATGGTGTCGCATTGCTGCTGTGCCCCTGTGGCTGTCCCTGAAAACTTTTTATTTTTTAAAGCTTTTGCCATAGGGCATGTGTGCTTGCCACAGAGGAGAGAGAGAGAGACACCAAGAAGGAAAGTGAGAAATCACTCCCAGGAGGATGGCCACACCACAATCCCTTCTCCTCCTCAGATTCTGGGCATGCACACACATGTACAGCATGAGTTTCAAGACCCCAGGTCCAGGACTTGAACTGTAGTCGACATGCGGGAGTCCAGCATCTTAACCACTACACCACCTGCTGACCCCAGGGCAAACTTGTTTTAAAGTATGGAGAAAGTTATGAGCCTCTGTCCAGTAAAAAATACACAAGATGATCTTGAAATAATTTATGGGCCCAAGGACCTGAGACTGTGAACATCTCGCTAGATGAACCGGACATTAACCTGTTTTCGCAGCTTGTGGGCCCAGTCGTGCCAGGAACACAGGAAGTCTGTGGTCCCTGTGATGATCCCACTGGCTGAACCTAATGGGCCCAGCAATGGAATTTCAATCTCCCCCCCCACACACACACACATGAATACAGCATTGCTAATGAGCAGACCACCAGCAACGAGGGAGCTTTAAACAACATCCCCTGGACAGAGCTGGAGATGCTCTGCCTGACAAGCACCAATAGGCCGGTCCTCATCTGCTAAGCACAGAAACGTCAAACCCTGGGAAAGTACTTTCTGAACGCCTGTTACAAAGGAGACAAGGAGGAGTAGCAAGCCAGAGGTTTACTATTTACCATGCAAACACAAACAAAATTGAAATGTCCATCACAGTAGGGAAAAAGACGAGTACTCTGTGTACGTCTCTTTTTCTTTCTTTGTTTCACAGCAAATCCAGCATAATTTAGTGGTGGGGAGGGGGAAATTCAATTTTCAACATGAATCACAATGATGCTGGCTAAGAATCTGGTTCTGGTTCTTTAATAATATGCAGGATTAGAATGATTTCCCTATAGAATGTCTAGTTTGACATGAAATAATCACTCCTCATTGGTTATTACCGAGCATGGCACAGCAAGAAACAAGGTCCACAGAGGCCTTGTGAATAGTCACAGCGAGTCTCAAGGCAGAGCCCGGGCACTTCTCCTAGTCCTGGAAGAAGACCCTTCGGCAGGGGACATCCACAATGAAAGCTGTGACTGTCTTTGTACCTATCCATGACACTCAGACTCTTGTCCTTTTCGTAAAGCTAGACAGAGCACTACATCATCAGCTGACTCTGTGGCACAGCAGGAGTGCACTGCTCAAGAGATGACGGATCCCACATGGCAACCATGGTTCAAATCCCCAGCCAGGACAGTCTGAAGCATGCTGGGCACACACGCAAGTGCCCGAGAGACAATGGGCTGGAGGGCTGGAGGGCTGGAGGCAGGGGATGGCAGTGTGACCAGACATTGCAGAGGCTGTTCCTCTCTCTAGTGTCACTCTCACATGCACACACACGTGCTCTCTCATGAATAAAGAAAAAATAGAAAACTATTGTATCTTAGAAAAAAATATAACTACATTAAAGACCCACTTCCCAAAGAGAAAAGGTGTCCATGTCCCTAACACCATGTCATTTACCCCATGACTCACGCAGCCCATGTGCACTGGTGAGCTGCATCTCTGTGGTCACTGTGCTGTCGTGGAATTGATGGAAGGACCACGCTGTCTGCTGCTGGATCACGGCTCTGCCAATCATCTGCCATAAGGCTTCAGGCACATGCCTCTGCTTAGGTTCCTTGGTGTAGAACGGGCTTAATTAATCATAGCTATCAGGCTGTCAGGAAAGTCACGAGGTATTTTTCTATGCACAAATGTGTAATGACTTTTCTGACAACCCAATATACGGAATACATTTGGCATAAAACTTGGCACATAAAAAGTACCATCAATTTAGTTATTATTGTTCATTATACACCTTAATTTCTTTCTTTCTTTCTTTTTTTATTTTTGCCATAGGGCCTGTGTGCTCACCAGAAAGAGAGATAGAGAGGAAAGGAATGTGGGAAAGCACCCCCAGGGGAATCATCCACAACATAATTCCTTCTTCAATGCTTTTGGGACTTTTGGCATGCTTACACATGCACCTGGCATGTTTTTCAAGCCACCAGGTTGGGGACTCGAGCCACACAGTCAGCCATGTGTGATGGAGCTGCCTTACCTTCCACTCTACCTGTTGGCACAACTTCATTTATTTCTTCAATGAGCAGGAGTCACAGAAGGGGGGAGCGCCCAGAGTAGGGTCCTGACACTGCAGCTCACCCCTTTGGCCAGACCTGGATCATGGGTACACATGCCTGGCATGCTCAGGGAGGTGTTCGGATGTGAGCCTGGAACCTCCCGGTAAGTCGCAGATAGTCACATCTCCCTGCTGTGCTACACCCAGCCCCTCATTATACATCTTACTGTACAGTTTATATTCCACTTGTTTCACTTAAAATTACAGAAATAGTTTCTAAATTGCTAAGCCTCTGTGACTCTAATTTTTAATGACTCAAGAACATTTTGCTTAGTTCTGAGCCTATTATTTGTGAAACCATTTTTAATTCAAGTTTAGGCACTTTTTCTCCTCCAGGTGCTAAAAGACACAGTCCCTTCCATGGCCACATGGGGGCATACTCTTTCTGTTTCCTCCTAGGAATGAGGACCCTCCCTAGAAAAAGACCCTTCCGGTGACTTCATGTACTAGTTCTTTGTTTTATGGCTTCCTGAGTTGTATATACCACTGAAACATGTGTAATAAGCTGGATTTATGCCAGGAAACAGCTTAGAACATACGGAAATAGTTCTGACTGCAGATGGTGGGTCTTTGACCCTCTAAATCCTTAACTTTTTCATGTGCTTGGTTGTAACTAACTGTTGGCTAGCGATGGGTTTCCTAAATGTGAGCTACATTAGAGCCGACCCACCTGTGCATTTATGCAAGTATACACAAATGCAAAGGCAAGACTATGCCCTTGAAAATAAAGATAGTCCCGTTATTTATCGATGGTACCTTCCACTCTTGCCAGTGCCTTTTCAAGCTACCTTCCACACTTGCAAGTGCCATTCCAGAAAGGGAGAGACCATGGCTGAAATGGCAGGATAAATGATAGAAGTTGACTCTTGGCTTTTGCTCTTCTGGGGATTTGATTCCTTGTGGTGAAAGCGAGAACAGGGGTCTCTGAAATGGACAATGTTTACTTTTCAGATGTTTCCCTTCCACGCTGCCTTTAGAACTCAAAAGCACTTGGATGTAACCCAACCAGAGGAAATGGGCAGTGAGCATGCTCTAGACTGGCAATCCCATGCAGACTACCATTTGGCCAGAGTCAATGGGAAAAAGGGAGGAAGATGTTGCTGATGTAGCCATTCTTGGAAAATTCTACCACCTGGCAGTGTCCTCAAATCCTCCAGAACCCTGTGAACTGCCAATATATAGGCAGCAAACATAGAGTCCTGGAAAAAAAAAAAAAAAAAAAAAAAAAAAAAAAAAAAAAAAAACCAGGGCAATCACTTAAATTTTCTCTGAGTTTAAGTGACCGAGGCAACGCCAGTCAGCCATTCCATCCATCCATCCATCTTGTCATTGGGCAAGCACCCCCAATT